GTTGTAGGTAAAGTTTGTTAGAGAAAAAAAAAATGATTCTTCATTTGTCTCTAATGTCTGGGTTGGGAATTCCGTAATGCAAGTCAAAGCAAAACTTTGCCCTCAACTTGAGTTTTAAGTTTCACTAATTAAACATCAGTTTATACAATTTAGAAAGCTGTTTATCTAAGTTACTTTTGCTTACGCTGCTTAGCTTTAAACGCAAACTAACCAAAGTTAGTTGAATCTTAAACTTCCGGCTACAATCGCCATCTCCTTCCGGCAAGTCCTTCACATTGTTTCTGAGTGTCTATGCAAATATTTACTGCAGTCGTTAAGGCCTTAAGTGTTTTCTCAAAAGTAATTGATGCGGCAAAAATAATAAAACAATGTTTAAGGGATTTAAATACGTATATAACTTGAGGCATCAGAAATAATGTAAAATATTTTAAGGGATTAAAATGAACTTAAATTAAGACTTAATATTAAGAATTTATGTAAATTATAGAAGACAGTTTAATTTTTATCTTTTTACCAAATTTTCCTACCTAGCAAAACAAAGTCCTTACAAAAACACAAAGTCAGCAGAGTTTGGGGTTAGAACTGGTCAAAATGTTTATGCATTTTCATTTGCCGGAAGACCATTGCCCGTCGCCTCGAGCCAGCCAGTTTAATGAACCGGAAGTGTCTTATACGGCAAAAATGCAATTACTTATGTGTGTTGGTTGCCGGCTGCCTCTGTCCACTGTCTTTGTCTAGCGCCTCTTTCCGTCTCTGTTTGGTTATGTACACAGCTTTTGGCACGGCCAAAACGTCAAATGTGAGTGCCATCTGCTGACCAAGTTCAGGCCGGCCAACTGAGCTACATCTTTTCATTCCTGGCTGGCTTTGATATACCCAATGTTTATTTAAATGGAAAGGGTCTGTTATGTAAGAGGAAAATTGGAAAAATATTGATATACGAAAAAAAACATCCTACAAAAATATGTTAAAATTATTTATGTCGCAAACAAAGTAAGTTCATTCTTTAATTATTAAATATGTATATCAATGTAATGTTTTTAAGCTTTTTGGGTATCGCCAAGTCGGGGTCAGAGAATCATATTTTTACTCCTAGTTTTTTGCGCTGTTTGTCTCGCCCTTTTGGGGACAGTCATTGCATTGCACTTAAGTGCTGGAACTCTTTGTTCCCTTGACAGAGACAGCGGCAGCCTCCAGCTAAAAGTCATTAGATACTGCAAATGTAAACACAATGCCTGGCCAGCAGACAGTGGAAAAGGAGGGGGGAAATCTGGCAGAGTTGTGGGTTCAGGCAAGGACTCCACGTGAGGGAAATATCCTCTGGCGGTTTTTGCTGAATGCGCTTCCTGTGGACACATTATGTGAATACACTGGCTGGACGTTGTCTTAGAAACTTTTGGTTTATTGGCATACTAAGTTATAAAAACTAAAAAAATAACAAAAAGTAAAATTATGCAGATTAAATTACAAAAATAATTCAATTTTTGATACACTTTTAACTTTAAAAGGCGCAAAGTGAAGGGTAAACTTAAAAGGCTTAAACCAAAGAGACTGATTTATTTTTCTGCTTTAGAAGTTATAATATTGTCCTTGCACTCCTGGAAACTGTGTTCCTTTCATTTCCTATTTAATTTACTAATGCATTTCGCATTTAAAGCATTTGAAAAATATGCGAGTATAACTTCATTTTCATTGCATAAGAAGAAAATAAACTATTAGTTAATTGATGGCAGGGAAAACAGAATTATCTTCTGCTTACCTTGGTAACTGTGCTTTGGAAATATAAGCAAACAAATGGTAGAAACTATTTTTAACAGGAACCGGAAGCCAGAGAATTTAATTCAATTGAGGGTGAACGTTTTTTTTGTAGCGCACTTTCCAGGGCAAACACCCACACATACGACATTGGCAATCCTCTATTGCAACGTTTAGTGAGCAGACCGTTGGCAGCTTTTGCCAGTTTAACTAGTTTGAAAGCCATTTGGGAATGCCAGGACCAAACTGTTCACAGGGACACAACCTCCAGCACGCTGGGCTGCATCTCAACAGTCAAACGGCTTGACTGGCATGCACTTGTCAGCCGTTTAGCATTGCTTTTTTCCCCTCAGTTTTCCAACGGTTTGGTAACAGGACTAGCAGCAGCAGCAGCAGTAGCAGCAGCAACAACCTGCCATGCTTGTAAGTGGAAACCATTTTCGAAACTTAATTTGCCATTTGTTTGGCGAATGTTTTCCAACCATGCCGGAGACAATTTCATTAGGTTTTTCCACCCCTTCTCTCGGCAGGCAGTTACATTTTCTCAAGGCGTCGGCAATTGGCTTGGAAGGTTGTTGAGCACGGAAGTTCAGTCGTACTACTTCGTAACTAGTTCAGCTACTTATTACCTGTATTCTAAGATGTGGAGTTCATAAAATCATAAAAAGGGTTTCTTGATGTTTGAAAATGTGATTTTATAATTGTAAAATGGCTTAAAAAATGGTCAAAGAGCTGAGTAGATGTAATAAATAACTAAAATAAATATAAAATTAATGTTAAGATGACTTTAATAATTTAACTATTAACTAGTAACTTTCATTTATTTCCGTTGATTATATTTCATCTAAGAACTCATCGCGGAACTCGACTGTTTGAGTTAGAAGAAGTTCTGCTGCTTTTGTGCTGCTGCTTTTGAGTGACACATTTCACGCCGAAAGTTTTCAAAAACCCACAGACACATTGACAAAGGAAACTTTCGGGGCTTTGCGTGTTGTTCCTGTTGTTTTCCGTGGTCGGAATGTGTTGGTAAAGTGGTTTAGGCACTCTTTGCCTTCTTAGATGAGGGTAGAAGTGGCTGCTTACATGTGTCAGAATGTCGCTCGATTTTAATTGAATTTAGTTGGTTACACTTTATTGAAGTTTTTCCTTCTCTGTGGAAGCTTTCTTCAAGAACTCTAAATAAACTTACTTTAGTGGTTGTCCCTCTAATGTCTGCTAACTAGTTCGCCATTCTATCATACTCAGTTTGTCATAAAACTGCAATTTGTAAGCTTTACTCTGCTGACGTCTCATTTGCTTTTGCTTTTGGTTGGTTTTCCCCTTTAGTCTCATGCAATTCATGTCACACACAAATTTTATTGCAGTAAAAAGAAAATAATAAAAAAAGAGGAAACCCCACAACAAATAACTTTTGCTTGCCAGTGGCCAAAACCACAAATAGTTGCCAGGACTTGACCATAACAAAAAAGACCAGGACAGTGCCAGAATTCGTGTGCAACCAAACCAGTGAACAGCATATAAGAGATCTTCTGTTTTATTTCTCGCAACGCAAATATATAATGACAATTTATGTAGTTGAAATTCTGGCACAGGTGGGAGATAAGAGGATTTGCCGAAAATTAGTTTACTAAAGTTAGTGCCTGTGAAACATAGATTTATATTTTTAATTCTCTGGAAATATGTTTTCCTTGATGGTAATAAAAATGCAAATATATATATTTCATTTTCATTTAATGGGTTTTTATTTAATACTTTAAATTTTCATTCCGCCAGAAAGATTTTATAAACATTTTTAAGAAACTTTGTAAATAATTACCTTCCTACAAGGCAAGAATCTCTTCCTAGCTTTATGCCTTATAAATCTATATTTTCTAGCCCTGGGATGAGTAACCGAATAATGTGACTTACCTCAATGCCGCTGCCCCGGGGGCCTTTTGGTTATGCGAGGAGGGAGATCGGATCCGGGGGACTTTGACTTACGACCGCACATTCGTAACGATTAAATTGCAGGCCAGGTAAGCACGACCTGACAGGGGCCTCCGGCTTGATGAAGTGCTCTGGTCCGGACAGTTTATTAGTTTGCTTCCTTAAAAGCTATTTTGAAATGGGTCCCAGAAAGACGGCACAGGATGTCACGAAAATGTAACAATCTTATACTGGACTATGACAGTTCGCAATCGGCATCGGATTGCCCTTAAGATTTATACGATTTTCAGAGTTTAAACTTAACAGAAATGTTATTTAATTTATAAATTTAAACAGCGCCATGGTCACTAATTCGATTAGCAACGTAAGGGAAATTTGGCCATTGATTATTTTATCAACGTTCGACACAGAAATATCGCAACGCTCGTTGAACCCTTGATTTATCAACCTGTCGTGATTATCATCCTGTTGCCATGGCGGCTGTGTGGTTAACCAGGGCTTTAAGTACAAATGCCAAACAGTAATCATCAAAATCAGAGGGCCATTCAGTTGATAATTGCGCAATAAATGCGCCAGCACGAGCATTAATGCAAATTAAACTTTAAATGGCTGTCGATGAGTTGTGCTTTTTGAATTGCAAATTCCCAATTAAAGTGAATGATGTGAGGGGAACTGTTCAGTAGATCCTTCTAAGTGGTTAATAATTAACTATACAGGGTTAGGTTTACCTCATATATGTTCAAGTTATTCTCTTACCATATCCTTGAGAATTTATATGGGAATTTATTCAATAAGCATTAGCAAAGTTATTTGATATACCTACCGTGTGCTGGCATAACTTTCATTGGCGATGGGAAAAAAAGTTCTGCCTCATATTGTCTTCATGTTCTGTAATGTTCGCTCCGGTTATGAACTTTCTCGTCGAACTTTTCGCATGCCAGCGTTTTAATTGAAGGAACCCGGCGAACACACCTCGCTGCTAACACTTATTGGCAAGTTGTAGATGCACTGACCTCCGGTGTGGGATGCATGCGCCCGTCTGTTGACCCAGTTGAGGGTTAATTCCACCCCACCCCCTACCAGCATACACACACACACAGACACACAAAGACGCTTGAATGGGCGGTACATAAATTACCTAGTGACAAATCGCCTGTCTGCACATTTGTCCCTATTTGTCATTTGTTTGTTTATTTGATCAAAGCATGCCAGCAGGACAGGCAACTTTGTACCACGCTGGGAAGATATAGCAATCCCCAGTTCTTGGGAATTAGTTTATTATGGAAATACCCAGAGATCCCATTCAGACACTCTCTTTCTTTGTTTCAACATTCATTATTTATTCGTGTGTCGGTAATCCGTATTTTAAAACATCTTTTTTTTTGGTTTCGGCTACATGCGTATAGTTTTTACTTTAAGATTAATACTCAGCTGTGTGTCTCATTGGTGAAATTTTTTTTATTTTTTAGCATGCAATTTAACTGTTGTTTTTTTAATTCTTCTCACATTGATATTTTTAATATTTTTTCTATCTTTTATTCCCAATTGTGCACTTTTTTCGTTTTAAACATTTACGTTCTACAAACACAACCCTTAACTAGTGGGTGTTGAATTAACAACATTTTCCTTATGTTAGCCTTACTTAACTTTATTTCATAATTTCCTTACCATTATCTTAGCTTGAGTTTCACTTTACTTTAATTAAGTTTTTGGGTTGATCTTAAATTTAAATTTCATAATTTATGTAGCCTACGGATATAATAACCTTTTCGTTATTTATAAAAATGCCTTTCCAAGTTTCCGCGACTTATTCGTTCGTAATACATTGATACAACAGCCAACATTTAATTGTAGCTAATAATTCATAAAATTTCTTCTATTTTAATTCATTTAAGTTTTATTGGTTGCTCCTAATTAAGTTCCTTAAGACTTTGCTGAGACCCATTTCGTACTTTAATGCCATTTTGAATTACCTTTAGTTTAGCCATCAATCAATGAGTATTCTCATACATCCTTAACCCTATTCAACGCTGACTTATATTAATTATAATTACGTATACGCAGTGGAAAGATGTGATCAAAGTTTGGAAAACCAAAAGTACACCAAAGCATGTGACATGCTTCCGAAAGTCGAATTCAAGCTGAACTTCAACTTTCAAAAGCGGGGCTCATGGTCAGCACGATTTCGCGTACTTTTGGTTTTGGATCTACACATATTTTTTTCACATCCCATTTCCGTACTCAGTTTAGTTTAAGCATTTGATGCGCTTAGCCGACAATCTTACACTTTAATACTTAGATTTATCTATATACTTTTTACTATAGCTATGCCCAAAAACACTTTACAAGCATGTCGAGCAGCTTACATATAAGAAATTGCCTTCGTCGGCTGTCTTAGACCTGACACATTTTATTAGCTATGAAATATTTCGTGATAAAACAGTTTTCTGCTGGCAGTCGTGCCAGCAGTTCAAGTTTCTTATTTTATTATGCACACTCACACACGCAAAATGCACTCTCACCTGATGCCCTTAAACTGCGCTGATATTGCGGGAATTTTAGTGAAAGTTGAAAATTTGAAGAAGAATAAAGCTTTCTCTCTCTTTAAGATAAGAAAGTGCTAATCCTTATTTCCTTGTGACAAATTCGGAAATAAATCTCAGCAGGAAAGGACTTTAAATTTTCTGTTAAATGTTTGCAAGGGAATTTTTTGGCCAATGCGAACTGTCAGTCAGGTTCAATACTCGTAAATTCAGCGATCCGGTTCTGTTGGCCCGTGCAAATCTCATCAATGTCAGCTTACTCTTGCCTGGTTTTTTTTTTTTGCCCCATAGTGCTCCATCAGCCGTGGAAATGTTTGCTTTTTTGAAGTCGAGCAAATTATTTTTCCTCTGTTCTGCAGAGCCAAAAAAGAAAAACAGAAACGAGTTAGAGGTGGGAGGCCTTGTGTTGACATATTTCCACACAATTGGGCCAAAAACCCAACGCTCGAAATTTAATTCCGTGTGACTGGCGAAAGCCAAACCAAAAACGACAAATGTCTGACAGTTGTTAGGTACAAATTGAAAGCGACAAAGGCAAACTGTTCTTCGGAGAGCGGCTGGAATCACCCTTCGAGGCATTGTAAATATGCGAAATGGCCCAGCAATTGTCGCGAGTTGAATGGCAACGGAAAATTCGGCAAAAAATAGCAGTATAAAGAGGCAGTTGTGCCCTCAGGCTCCACACATTCTCCATTACCCCACCCAATCACATCCATAAAATACATATATATATATCTATATATATATACATCTGATATCAATGACTTGTGTAGCTGTTTCAGCCAATTGCTAGACAACCACCATTCCCATTTTGTTGTCACTTGATTTGCCATTTATCAGCATTTTTCCCCTGCTCATCCATGTTGAGTGCGGTTTACAAAAGGACTTCCGAGATCCAGCTGACATTTCCCTGCATTATTTTGGCTTGAATTACAAAGTACAATTCAATAAAAGTCCATCCACGAAGATGCTTAGAAATGCGTTTCGAAAATCTGTAAAAAAAACACAAAGAAGAAAAGAGTTTAATTTGGTTTCGGATCTGACAGATTGATTGGCTGTTACAAATAAGTACAAATTATTTTGGCATTTCTATAGGTCTTTTTGGTTTTCTTAAATTGTCAGTTTGATGCTTTATTAATATCCCACCCACGTCCTTTATCAAACCCCAAAAAAGATGTCGTAATACCTCTTCGCATGCAAGCAGCTTATGCCAATTTGTTTGCCAACTTGCGTCTACAAATCGCAAATCGCCTTTGAATGAGCTTAATAGAGAAATTCTAGGCTCAGAGAGAGAGAATTTCTGTTTAATGGTTAGTACAGTAAATATCGATTATGGGGGAACCTTTAGCAACTGTATTTTTTATAGCTTAAAACTGAGGTTAAAAAACAGAGAATTTTCAGTAATTTAGCCAGAATTTTCACTAAATATCTATAATAAATATATTTTTCTAGACAAGTTGATGCTGAAATTGAAGTAGAAAACTTTGTTCAAGTAACCGCCATCCCCTGTATTGGACTAATGTTATGGCCATATGCCTGAAATCATCAGCAGGCTCCAGTAGTCTGCCTAATTAAAGGAGCATCGGATTGCAAGTTGGTCCTGGCAGCAGAGAATATTTGAGCCAGGCCCCAGCTTCCATTATTGTTTGCCCGGCCTTGTTGACATCGCACATCGACATCGACATCGACATCCTTATTGTTGTCGTCATCGTCATGTCCTTGTTATACCCCCACCCCGAGAGAGTCCTAATTAGCATTAACCACTTGTTGCATGACAGAGTTAACGCGCCCCATCATTTTTCTCACTTTTTCTCTTAACCGTAATATGCAGTTAAATTGCGTATACGCAGCGGTGACACGGTTGTGGCTTGCATGTCGGTTCACTTTAATCGTGCTTTTATTATTTAATCAATTTTATTATTCCATGTACTCTACTACAGTGTATGTAATTTGTGAGTTTAGCACTAATTGTTACCCAGGGAAATTTGTAACTAAATATTCCGTTTGGTTTTATTTTCCCAAAAAACGCATGCCATTTGGCCAAAAAAAAAAGTTGTTATTGTGTAATATGAAATATTAATAACAAGGCTTTTTGATTTCCGCTACTGAATCTATTGAATCCCACGAATCCCTGTGAAATTTGTAAAATTTAATTAAAATTACAATTTTAATTCTGGGAAATTGCCACAAAAATAATGTACGAACTGCGGTTGTCTGCCCACGTTGCCAGTGTATCGATTTATTATTGTGATGAAGCTATCAATTTTAGCTTTGTATTTCGTTAGAAATCTGCTTTGTGTTTCGATTAGAAGGAGAAATTGTGGGGATTTTTTAATAAATTTAACACAGGAATTTGTATGGGGGCGACGGTTTGCCATTGGCAAAACTCGTTACGCTTGCATTCCCTTCTAAAGGAAGTTAAAAATATTTAATGAAATATAAGGAGGTTGATTAAAGATAAATCAATAAATATTTTTGGGGGAAAAATAGCTTCGCTTAGCTTTGCCAATTTTTAAAAGTTTTTATTAGTTTGCAAGTTGGCTATGAAATCTACGACAAAAAACTTAAAAATAAATTCCTTCAATCACTGTTACGGGTTATCAACAAACCTCGTTTATTTTTATGATTTTAATCAATTCGAATTTCGGAATAAAAATCAATTAAACTATTCTCTTTTTATATAAAGCTTACAGCTGGGACCGTGTCCGAATCGAAAGCTAACAGAAAAACCCATCTGTTTTACGTGCCTTTAACGATAGGTTGCTGCTGACAAATTAAATCAACTTGAATGCTAAATGCCTTTCGCTTGGGTGTTGATAATTGAAATAAAATTTGCCGCCTAACAAGGAGAAAAAATAACAAAAAATAGCAGCGTGAAAGGAGCAGAACGAATCAGGGCTGAATGTATGGAGGTGGACAGGTAGATCCAAACAAAGGTAAACTTTGCCCGCAGCCTTAGCCATGGTCTTTGGCCTTTGTTTGTCCTCAACTGAAACTGAAAGTCCGACCGCCTTGAATGCCGCTTTATTAAGTATTCATTATTGTCGACTGTGATTGTGTGTGTCCTGTGGGCGTTCTTGTGGGCATCATTGTGTGCGTTTATGCACTGCGAGAAAAAATTTAAAGATTTTTTTTTTACAAAATTTCAACTCTACTAACTTTAGTATTCAAAAATATAAAATTATAAAGTTTAAAGTTTATATCTAGCATTGGCCGCATTTTCTTCGAGTGCTGTGGGTGCTTAAAGGAAAAACTTGGTTGTGGTCTGCGAATCGGGGCCCTTGACAGAAAGGCAGGCGGAAATTGTAGAATCTCTGGCTTGCGGAGGTTCACCTCTGTCGGTTTGGGCCCTAATTGCCAGCGGCACATTAATGTTTATGTAATTAATTTTAATGATTGTACTTTTGCGCTTGTTTCCCGTCCTCGATGCTCCCGAAATGTGTCCCCAAAAACAAAAGTTTTCTTTTATTGCCTTGCTATTGTTCTTATTGGTCTTGAGATGGGATTTTGTTATTTTTTTTCTTGCTTAGCCTAGTTTCGGAAACTTATTTAAGAAAAACAAATACGAAATGGCAATAAAATGTTTGGCAAAACAAAGCAATAAAAAGAAATCAATAAGGAACAAGAAGGAACTGCAAGTGCAGAAAGTAAAATAAAGGAATTTAATTCTGATGAAAATCATTATTATTTTATACTCGTTTTTCTCTGTCGAAGAAGCTGAAGTATAACAAAAATTGTTTTAATAGTTTTTTCAATTATTCATTTGTTAAAGTGTCTGTCATTAATTATTCATAATTTAATACGGTTATGACTACTGAAAGCCAGCAAAAAGCAAATAACAAATAATTTATGTACACCGTAAAAGGACTATAATTTTCCTTTTCCACTCTGTCATCATATCCTTTATTGATCAGAGTTGTCAATGGCAAAGTGTTTGTCATTTTGATTGCTCATATCTTGTAATGGCAGCCACATGCAGTTGTCCTTTACGAGTCCTTCTGGCTGGAGTGGATTTTAAGTTGGCCGCAATTAGATGGCGACATAGACAAACTCTGTGGTCCCAGTACATATGTCAAGTTGGTGGAGAGGATGCCACAGGCTTGACTGCCAGACAGCTACACAGATTCCGAGGACCTGAGTCCTCCTGAGTCCTTAGTCCTCGACAAGAGGTTGCTCTTTTGAATGAACTGCGATGTGGACTAAGTTTAGCCCATAGACATATATATATGCATTATATATATATACAGATATATAGACAAACTGTGAGACAGACGGCTGATTAGGGTGTCGGGGCATTTAATGAATTTTGCACAGGGCGTAATTAGGCAAAACAGGAAGTGAACGAAATGGAAATGGAGGAAAGGACTCCGAATGGGATCGGATGACAGTTCAATGACAGTCGCCGACACGTGTTGGTCTTTATGTAAATGAAGGTGTCGCACTGACATCACCGTTTAATGGAATGCCATCAACTCTCAGCCAATGCCTTTCGGCACTTCATTACATTTATTTGATGTTTAAATTATGCCGCGTCGAAGGAAGAACAGTTTAAATATTACTCAAAAAATTACATACTATATGCATGGGACTTGGGGACATTTAACGCAATGAAATTTAATGAGCCCAAAATGACGCATTAAATGACAGGACCAAGGCCCAGGAAGTGGATGCTGTCAAAGGGGCCACCCGAAAGTAAACTGATGTATTTTTAATTGCTGCATACATTAAAATAGATTTACATTACGAGAGTGGGTCGACAGCTTCTTTGCTTGGAAAGGGGATGGAAAATCTCTACTCATCCAAAAAAAAAAAAGGATGCCGAAGTCAACTCGCATGTAAATATTTGCTGGCAGCAGGAAGAGACCTTCATTTTTAGGCCGGGTCAACAGAGTTCAATACGGTTTAAGACCATGCAAATCTGCCTGGAAATTCTGCTTACTCAAATCAAAATCAAAATGGACAGTGACCTTATGCCAAAGTCTACAAGTCGCAGGGTTAAGTGAGGTCTGAGCACTTAAGCCATTAGCTTATTATAATATTCCACCTAGGGCAATGCACTTTAAATGTAATTCTATTTTCGGCTAATCCCGCTTATAAATTATGTCTGAATATTAAGTGCAGACGATGTGATAAAGGGATTAAATCTACACCGTTAATAAGTTCTAAAATATCTTAAATTATAATCAAAAACTATTTATTTACCCACAAAAAACCTTTTATTTTCGTGCTAACAAAGTTGTCAAACATCCATTTGTGACCCTGATTTTCCAACTTGTTTTCCGTTTATTTTTTCACGCCACATTGCCAACGAAAATGGACAAAAGGCGCGACTTAGGGCCAAGAGAAATGGCCCTGGAAAGTGTGCTACACTTTCTTTGAGCTCGTGAGTGTATCCCAACTGCTGTTGGCGCTGATGTATCTATAGTCATAAATATCCTGCGACGAGGGACTCACTTAGACGCCCAAACGATGTGGCATTATTCAAAATATTAACTTGAACTTAGACAACATTATGAGAGCAATAAGCGGGAGCCAGCAATTTGAAGGGGGCAGGACTTTCTTTTCACATTTGTTTTGTCTACTTGGCGCATTTTAGACAAAATTAAATTTTTCAAATATTTTTCCCCTCTCATACAATACCCACTGCGGTCTCCCGAGGGAATTTTGAAGGACTTTAGCCGCCTGCGGTTTGTCAGAGACTTTATAAAAGTAATTTGCCAGCGGCGGGACTTTCGGGGGGGATACACGTGATACACGAGCGGGGAAATAAACAGAAAATTTAATTTTAATTCACTTTCGCCGTTTAAATAAAATATAAGTTGAGCTGGTCGGAAATTGTCAAACGACAATCGCTTTCTGGTTTAGAAGAGCAATATTTATGTATATATATTATTGATATGCCAGGCACGTAGGGTGGTGATTGTTATGGTTGTTGGACACGCGAATCAAAACAAATCCGAATTCCGGTCAGGGTACACAGAGAAATAGGGCA